GCCTTATCCTTATCTAAGCCCGGTTTGGTACAGCTTTTTCAACAGTTTTATGGCAAGAAGCTCAAAATGACAAGGCACTATTGATGACCAACAAATGAATCTATACTTTAGAAGGCGGGGGGGGATATAAAAAATAGAGTACATAAACAAAAATGTTTAAAAGGGAAGTTATCTCCTAATTAAAGAAATATTGTCCACCTAAAATATATAAAGTTGTTTATCACCCAGACTAATTCTTCAACTATTCATCTGGGATTGAAACATACTCTATTATTTTGGGGAACCTGTGTGGCTCAGTAGGTTAAGCATCCGACGTAGGCTCAGGTCCTAATCTCACGGTTTGTGGGTTCGAGCCCTGCGTCGGGCTCTATGCTGACAGCTCAGAGCCTCAGCACAGAGCCTGGAGCCTGCTTCAGATTCTGTGTCTCCCATTCTCTCTGCTCCTCTCCCATTCACGGTCTGTCTCTCTCTCAAAAATAAACATTAAAAAAAGAATTTTTTTAAGTAAAAAAAATTTACAAAAAGAAACTCTATTATTTCAAAAATTTGCATCAGCAGGGATGAAATCCAGCCCTAACACATATCTGTATGTAGTAAAAGTCTAATACAATAGTTATTCTTGACAGTGTATGATAACCCTATCCCTACCCCCATCTCTAATATGTACAAAGAGGTTCCAATATAATTACGAACCCGACTTCCTGGGAATGTCTTTAAAGCTACTACAATATAGCTAAATTATTCTAATTGTGGGACTTTTTGTAGTTGACAATTTCTAATCAAATGACAATAGCTCCTCAAGATTGAGCTAAATAGGTAGTTTTATGTTGGAATCAGAATATAAAATCTTACAAAATGAAAACCATTGAAAGGGAATAATGACTCCTACGGCTCAATTGTATCTGAAGTACCAGAGAGAAGGACACTTGGACTGTTAGGTTCCTGGCTTAATTGTAACACAGGTCACCATTTTTAAAAACAAGTGGATTAATGTTAGAAGCGATACCTATTAAACACTTTTCTATTCATAGGGAACTTAACCTTTTCAATTTAATACATTTGATTTCCAAATTCATTTGCAAGTAAAAATAAAACTATTTAGTCTTGGTAACATTCCAAGACTTGTGAATTCAGAATTCTTTAATTTATAAGTTTCTTGAAATCAGAGACTATCCACTTACCATCCATTTATTTCCACTTATTAGTCTTCATATATATATTCCCAGGATAGAAGCTTTAAATAGGATATTAGAATGTACATCCTGACTTTTGGAATTGGATTCAAAATAGTGAAAAAAGATTATTTGCTTCATAGTTCTTGGTCTAATTAGCTATAAGCAATATCTTCATAGAGATATATTTAATATTAAGGCAAAGGTGAAAAAATCATCATTATAAATATTTGAGTATTTTCATCAGACATCTTGTCATTGCAATAATTTGTAGTCCATGAAAAACATGAAGCAACTCTAATCTGTCTAAATCTCTCTACTAAAATATAGAGGACAGAAATTTTTTTAAGCATCCAGGGTTTGCTTTTCCAGTATTTTATAGATTTTTAATCACTGATCATGTGTGATGGTCCCACGATCTTTTGAGTAAGTCAAGAAGTGTTTCTACACTACAGATAACAAAATTTGGGTTCAAAGAGGATAAGTGAATTAACCAAGTTCAGAACATTGATAAATGGACAAGAGGGGCTAGAATCCAGACCTTTGTATTCCCCATCCAGTGTGTTTTCCATAACACAATTACAACAGGCTGAATGCAAATAAGGAGCACACATTCTATATTGTATATCCTTGATATCTAATTCCTTTGAATGTACAGCACCTTGAAATTCTTTCCTCTTCCCTGTAAGTGAAATACAGCTATGTCTATTGGCAAGGTACACTTTGTAAATATTGGCCACAAAACAAATATGCAAGGAAGGACCACATAAAAGTACAAGTGCGTCACTGCTGTCGTCAAACCCACTCTGTCACCAACGGGAGAAGAAAAGTGACCTCCTCAGACATTGAGAAGGCAACCAATTTACAGGGCAATGTTTATAGATCTGACCACAGGGTGTCCTCTAAAATCCATTTACTAGCTATAACTAGCTATATTGCCACCAACCTTTAGTAACTATTCTCACTGCCCTTTACTGACCCTTATGTAACTACATCTTAGTAAATTTTGCTATCTTTTTTTTTTTTTTTTTAACATTTATTCACCTTTGAAAGAGAGACAGAGAGACAGAGCATGAATGGAGGAGGGGCAGAGAGAGAGGGAGACACAGAATCTGAAGCAGGCTTCAGGCTCTGAGCTCTCAGCACAGAGCCCCAAGCGGGGCTCAAATCCACGAACCGTGAGATAATGACCTGAGCAAAGAGTGGCCGCTTAACCGACTGAGCCACTCAGGCGCCCCTAGTTTTGCTATCTTTAAAATATGATGTCCATTTGGGGCGCCTGGGTGGCTCAGTCGGTTAAGTGGCCCACTTCAGCTCAGGTTATGATCTTGCTGTCCGTGAGTTCGAGCCCCCCATCGGGCTCTGTGCTGACAGCTCCGAGCCTGGAACCTGCTTCTGTTTCTGTGTCTCTCTCTCTGTCTGCCCCTCCCCCATTCGCGCTCTCTCTCTGCCTTTCAAAAATGAATAAATGTTAGCAGAAAATTTTAAATATGATGTCCATCTAAAAAAGAGTAAATTTGGATACAACGTTTTTTTAACACTTATTTATTTTTGACAGAGACAGAAAGAGCATGAGAGGGGGAGGGGCAGACAGAGAGGGAGAGCAAGGATTCCAAGCAGGCTCCATGCTGTCAGCACAGAGCCCAATGGGGGGCTCGAACTTAGAACTGCGAAACTAATAACTTTAGTCAGTTGGACGCTCAACTGACTAAGCCACGCAAGCACCCCTGGATATAACTTTTTAAGAGAGCAGAGTTTTAAAAGTGAAGGCAGGAAGAAAGATAGGTAGAGGAGTGTTTCAAAATAAGTGAATAAAACACAAGCCCCCTTGGACTGCTGTACAGAATTTTAATTTACTATCGTGAAGTTCAAGAACTTCTATTTCTCATGCCTGGCTTTCCTCCAAAACTCTGGCCAGTAATGATTGAGTGTGAGTAATGACTTTCACATCATGAAATGATGGCTTATTCCTCCCACAAATTTGTCATTCTTAGCTGTGAACTTTGGCAGACCTTTAAAACAGATCTGCCACCGTGAGCTAGAAGAACTACTTTCACTGTAGTCTATCCACATAATTAAATCATTTTGTTGTGGCTGTAGTTGTGGGCATATAGAGCACTTATTAAGATCACGGAGAACTGGCTTCTAATCTCAATCATATCTATGCTATTTTAAGTAGTCGCTCAATTTCTCTGTTTCTTGTGTCTGACGGAGATACGCCTATCCTTGCCCACCTGTTTTTGTAAGAAGAAAAAGATATTCCAAGGGACACAATTTTGTAGTCTTAGAAGACACATCTAACTGTAAATGGTATTATTTTCATTACTATCTGTTCTCTCTGCAGTAATATATGAGTAACCTTGAGATATTACTAACACTGAGCTAAAACCAATATTTGCTCTCAGAGTTTATATCTAGTGACTGCATCTTTGATGATGGTTTAGAACATATCTCCTTTTTGGCTCTCTTGTTGCAATTAAGCCAAATCTAAGAAAATGGTTGTTTCTGGGTTTCTTAATTTAAAATGGTAGTTTCTGGTACTTTCTCCTGAGATCTTGTGTTCTCTCTGTCTCTCTCTCTCTCTCTCTCTCTCTCTCCTTCCCTCCCTCTCACTTTCTCCTTTCTTTCTCTCTCCCTCCCCCTCCTCACTCCTCACTCCTCACCTCTGTCTCTGTCTCCTTCTCCCTTTCCTTTTACTCCTTTCTTTCCCCACCCTGTCACCAGAGGCTACAAGCATCTACAGGCACCGCCTGGCCCTACAGATGTCACTCAGGGCTAAAATCCTATTCAAACCTGACTGGAGTAATCTAAGCAGTAGAAGCTGTGGAAGCTTTTGAAGGATTCTTAGGCAACCCAGTGAGTGTGCAAAGTAGTAGCAGAAAACACTCAAAACTATTAGAGCCTATTTTTACCTCAACAGATAGAGGTTGTTTTGTATTTTGTTTTCTACCTCACTTTTTATAGCTCTTACTACTCAAAAAACAATCTATTTAAAGCTACTGTGATCCCTTAAACTTTATATTTACTAAAAGTGATTTTCATTGGCAAAGTTCCCATAGAGTAATTTCAGACTTCTCTGGTAATAAATGCCTTCATAAAATTATAGGAAGGAACGGAAGTTCCTGCTGGAATTTCATGATCCAATGGTGGGGGTGGGGAAGAACACTTAAGGTTCTCTTCCTGGACCTGCTCTTCAGTTATAGATACATTCATAGAGAGAAATTTATCAGCTGCTAATTGTTTCAATGCCTTAATCTGCAAAATAAAAAACAATAAATTTGGACTTCTAAAAGAAGGACTAAGCAGGAAAAGGAAAAAAAGGCAATGTCTACATTGTGATTAACAAATATCAGAATTATGTAGATATCATCCTTCCAATTTTTTTCCCTAAAAAATGACATTTCAGAAGAGAAAACTTTACAGTGGGCCAATAAAGAAGAGCTTACCACATTACCTACTGTGATGTGGTTCATGAACATATAAGCAACCTCACTCCTGAAGCAAATTGTGTGTGGTAGTGTCTGGGCACAGGCAGAGCCCTGATAGAATTTAAAAATAATTGCTTTCTAAGCAGAACGCTTACATGTTACATATTCACAGGGATTGTGACCTTTCTTTACACTGGGTGCAAGTTGCCATAATTTTACTCAGAGCAGTTGAAAAGGAACATTTACTAAACCAGTGGGTTCAATACTAAAGCCAGTACTAATAAATTAGCACTTCAGAATGGCACACAAATCTGTATTTGCTTCCTAAGTGACACCTTTGCTTCATGCTAAACTATACCCCCTACGATTTTATCAGAAATAAGAAGTAGGGGACTGTTACCTTGACAGAAAGGAGCCTGATGCCAGCTCTTGAAAATTTCCATTGATGGTGCGCAGGCGCATTGGTAAAGCCAAAACCAGTCTTCAGGGTCTTCACCACTTTGCAAGCTGTCAAAATCCTCGTCATTTTGAAGATGTTGATTTGTGACTAAAATTAAATAAAATTACCTATATTTATGAGAATTTTGTTAGAAGATTTTTTTTAATTAATGCGAAAGAAAGATGGGGGGTGCAGTCTGGTGTTTAAGGCTGACTGCACGGCAATCCTTGAATTTCCATTCATTCTGTCATTAAATATCTTCAGCCACCGCTCCTCCTTCTCTTAACCCCTCCTCCTGAGGTAATGTCCGGAGATGTTCCATGGACATGTAATACAAATTACAAAACATCAAACACTACCTTCTCCTGCTGAGATAATGCTAGTGTTGTAGAAAACCAGTCATCCATCAAAGGAACTGCTTATGCAGCTGAATAGAATGACCTAGCCACAGTGGATAACCTTAGGAATCTCACCCTAAAGAGCAATAACTTTATAATAATGCCAGAGATCAAAGGCTTTTACTGGTGTCAGATGTGACGCCTCGTTTGCCTCTAAAGAGATTTTGGATTCCCAAAGAAACCTGAAGAATTGCCATTTTCAGCTTAGAAGAAAGGATGGGTATGCAACCACATGTGGTAAAAATGACATCACAATAAACCTTTCTGCATAAATGTAGATTGTTCTTTTTTGAGTTAATAAAGTAGTATATTACATTCTTACTATTGCATTGTTTTGTATTTTACATTTTAAAACAATCGGTAATATTAACTAAGACGCAACCAGAGCAAAGTAGGCTATTTATATCTCTCTTAAGATTTGTAAGATTTATAAAAAGTGTCTGAAACAAGGGCAATCGTTGATTTTCATACAAGAACTGGTCCTAAGCCAAGACTTTTTTTTTTTTAAATGTTACATATAAAGTTCTCAAAACTTGAGCATTTGTGCTTCAACTAAGTCAAAATTGATTCCTGTAACCCTTCAATCCCATGTTTAATCAGGCAGGCAAAGGCTGTCGTAGGTTTATGGAAGCTGTCAGGTAAGTCATGTGTCTGTGTGGATCAGGAAGCACTGTCGCATCACCTCTTGGTATCCTTGCAAAGGAGGCCAAGAAATGAAAGCTCCCTCCACATGCTTCCTGTAGTGGAAAAGATGACCCAGAATGGCACAGAGATCGTAAACTGCATGTACATAGGATGGGTGCTGGAGATGGGGGAGTGAGGATGACTTTGTTTTTTAAAAAAAAGATACAAAGTTTAAGCTCAGTCTTCTGTCTTACTTAATGTATTTTGTATAAACATTTTCTGAAGCCAAAGTACTTCATGGTTTCTGGTGATAGAAAACTGGAAAAAAAATAGTCTCAATCTAGTGTATATAAGTAATTAATAAAATAGATAATGTTATGGTAGGATGTCCAAATGCAACGGAGAAAGAAAGACATGGAGAGAGAAGAGAGAGAGACAAAAAGAAAGAAAGAAGAAAGAAAGAAAGAAAGAAAGAAAGAAAGAAAGAAAGAAAGAAAGAAAAAGGGAAGAGAGAGAAGAAAAGAAAAGAAAAGAAAAGAAAAGAAAAGAAAAGAAAAGAAAAGACTCCCGTGTGCATGTCCAGTAAAATTTAAGCCTAGGACTATGTGATCCTGAACTATGTTATCCTAAACTATGCATAAGAGTTCACCAAATAGATGAAAGGGGTAAAAAAACAGAAAGAATGGCACAGACAACAGCAGAGACACGTGAAAATCATATGGTATATGGAAAAAAAAGTTGAAACAGTCTGATAAAAGCCTAGCTGCAGGTACAGGGTGGGGAAGTGAACAGGGATCAAAACATGGAAGACTTTGTGGGCCTTAAAATGGTTGATCTTAACCCATAATGTTCACAATAGTCATGGAAGTGTTTTGAACAAAGATGAAATGTGTGTGAAAGAAAGATCATGGAAAATGAATTAGAGGAGGCTGAAACTGGCGGAAGGAAAACTTAACTCTGAGTACAAAAAACTTAGAATCAATACTTATTGGTTTAGTCTCATTCTAAATTAGGCCTCAGTCTCACCCTTTGTCTGTATGTCTATCTCTCTATCTCACCAAATATATATATATATATATATATATATATATATATATATATGCCTGACACCTCTTGTCTGTCCCTTACTATATACATATATATACATATATATATGTGATATATATATATATATATATATATGTGTGTGTGTATTTAATGAGGTTATTTTTCCCTAATTAGAAAAATGACATGTACTTACACTGATTATGGAAATTTTTTGAAATGCAAAATAAATTTAAATCACTCGTAGTTGCATTACCCAGAGGTACTCATGCAGTAAACATTGTAGTGTATTTTCTCCCTTCTTTCCCTACACTTTGATTGAATATGACAGTCAGGGTACTGAGGACTCCATGATTTGAACAAAGGAAAGACAGTAGTAACTAGCTTCTTAACCTTTTATAACAGTTAACCAAAAGCATGATGAGCTAAACATGGTTTTCCAGAGAGATGTCTACAACTTTAGGATATAATTCCATGACTCTAGAGTCTAAAGAAAAATATAGGTCTGAGAGTTGTAATGGGCTTTCATTTGGGTCAGTAAAAGGCCCTGCATGTAGGCTATGGTCCATGTTTCCAGTCATCAAAATGAAAGAGAAAAGTCAGAAGATTTAGAAAATTTTGTTAAGTATTCTGAATTAGAGACTTAGAAAATCCATCCACCCTGGGGTGCCTGGGTGGCTCAGTGGGTTGAGCATCCAACTTCAGCTCAGGTCACGATCTCACAGTTCGTGGGTTCAAGCCCTGCATCGGCTCTGTGCTCAGCTCAGATCCTGGAGCTTGTTTCAGATTCTGTGTCTCCCTCTCTCTCTGCCCCTCCCCAGCTCACTCTCTGTTTCTATCTCTCTCAAAAATAAATAAACATTAAAAAATAAAAAAATTAAAAAAGAAGAAAATCCATCCATCCTGATTCTATAATCATCTGGGAATTGGAAAGACCAATAAATAAAATGACAAGTAATTTCAGATTGGAGTGTTCAAGAAAGACTGAAATCTACAACCAAACTGCAAAAAAAAAAAAAAAAAAAAAAAAAAAGAGAGAGAAAAGATTGTTTGAGAGTTTACATCAGGATAGATCAAAGGAGTGAGATGGTAAGAGGTGATTGGTAGCAAACATTAAAGCCAGAGATAAAAAATTTAGTGGAAATATTATACTTTTATGAAAGACATTTTTTCAAAGCATTTCAAAAGAATGTATTTTTCAGGTTGGAATGAGTTTTTTTTGTCTCCCATAGCATTTACATGGTTCTCCCCTCACGTAAACTGTCTGCATGTAACTAAGCAGGGTGACAGGTATGGATGCATGAACACACAGCAGCCTGGGGAAATCTGTGCATTTGAAATAGATGCTGTATGAGCCAGGATACAAATCCTCTAATGTTATGAGTTATTCACTCAAAAAAGAAAAATTTTTTGTATAAATTTAACCCTTCTCTATCGATACATTTATCATAGTTTTCACTGTTAATAGTACTGAGCTACCTTCTCTTGCACAATCTCATATAGAAAATTAAAAATTATTAAAAACAAACTTTTTTTGATTTTGTTAGATTTTGACACTTGAACATTTTTATCTAATTCTGAGAAAGTATTTTATTTCTTCCATAAATTGAAAAATGTCATATATATATATGCACACACACACATACACACACACACATATATATGTATATGTATACGTACACATGTATAGATATACATATATATACACATACAGAGAGAGAGAGAACAGAGAGGGGAAGGGAGAGAAAAAAGTATCCGTAACTAGTATAATTATTTATCATTTCTTTTAAAAAAATTTTTTATGTTTATTTTTAACAGAGAGAGAGAGAGAGAGAGAGAGAGAGAGAGAGAGAGCATGAGCGGGGGAGGGGCAGAGAGAGAGGGAGACAGAATCTGAAACAGGCTCCAGGCTCTGATCTGTCAGCACAGAGCCCGACGCAGGGCTCGAACTCACAGACCACGAGATCATGACCTGAGCCAAAGTCGGAAGCCGAAGTCAGTCGCTGAAGCCGACGCTCAACCGACTGAGCCACCCAGGCGCCCCTTTTATTTATCATTTCTTAAGAGGAATGGAAGCATTCAGCCTTCCAAATCCCTAAGAGCACTTAATTTGATAAATGTGTCATTAAGATATCTGGTATTGAAAATGGTATTATATCAAATACTAAGTGATATTTATTTTCATTTAATAAACATTTTTTGAAAATGAAAAAAATAGATAATAGCTCATTCCTCTAATGTAACTTCTGTTAACATTTTAGCGTACCTTCTTCCAGCATTTATTCCTATGTACAGGTCATAGTTTTAAAGCTGTGATCAACTTGCATTATGCTTTGGTGAGGTAATATTATATTAAGAGTATATTCGATGTTATTAAATGGTCTTTTAAAGCCTTAGTTGAGGGACACCTGGGTGGCTCAGTTAAGCCTCCGACTTGGTTTCAGCTCAGGTCATGATCTCGCATAAATTCAAACCCAGCATTGGGCTCTGTGCTGACAGGGTGGGGCTTGCTTGGGATTCTCTCTCCCTCTCTATCTGTCCCTCCCCTGCTCATGCTCTCTTTCTCTCTCAAAATAAATAAATAAACTTAAAAAAAAAACCTTAATTAAAAGAGCTATAAAATATTTGATTTCCATTGCTTCTAATGTTGTTACAAGGCATATCAATATTGCTATTTTTATCAATATTGACACATTTCTCCCCAAAGATAGTGTATCCATCTACACACAATTGCAGTATATGAGTCTCCCTCTCAATACGCTCTGCCAACAATAGGCATCATCTTTCATTTGCTCATCTAAGAGCAGAAAACAGTATTTTGTTTTTACTTTAATTTTAAACTACTAGTGAGGTCAAAAATTTCCATGTGCTTTGTATAAGTACTATTTCTTATTTTGTGCATTTTTTGTTCCCATTAATAAATAAATTAATATCAATGATAAAGAAAACTTCTTAAAAGGAAATGTAAAGTAACACTGATCGACAGCCTATAATAGTATTTGTACTAGTTTCAAATATTGT